AATTCACTGTAGCAATGCCGTCAAAGGCAGTTCCAAGATGATGACAGTACCATAGAACACAATTCTGGAATGAAATGGTATGATGACTCAACCAACTAAATGCTTCCCCACGGAGCTTTAAAGCAATTTGCTCAATTCTGAACTGAAATCATGATGACCGCAGGAGCTAAGACAACCAACTGGCCACTTGTCGGGTGTGCAGAATCCAGGTCGGATCAGAAACGTGGAGAACCGGTCTAAAGTAGGACCAATGTTGCGGGACCAAGAGTGAGCTCCACCCTGGAGGACAACACAGAGGAAAATAATTCATCGGCTTGAACGGCTTTGTAAAAGAGTCACCCTTACGTTTCCAGCACTCCTCAACGCACTGCAATGATGAAACAACACCTCCTCCTCCTACTACTACTCCTTCCTACTCCTGTTGCTGTTGCTGCTGTGGCCTGCTCTCTGGGTGTATACAGGAACCGAGATATTCAACACATCACAATGAAGGCACCCCCATCCCCCTGCCCCTCCTCCCTACCCTTCTCCTTCTCCTTGTCCTTCTCCTCCTCCTCCTCTTTCTCCTCTTCCTACTGCCTGCCCTCCTGCAAAGACACACCTTCCCCTCCTGCTCCTCCTCCTTCTGCCTTCCCTCTTATAGCACCCTTCTGTTGTAGGGGGACAACATCTCATTCGTCTGCTTACTTGTCAAACGTCCATGAACCTTCATCCGCCTTCCCCATCTCCCCCATCTCCCCCATCTCCCCCATCTCCCCCATCTCCCCACCGAACCAGTCTCTTTGAGACAGCTGATTATTGAGAAGGAAACTATAGCAACACTATTCTCTGTGGGTGTCGCTGATATCCAACAGTGTATGCTATGTAACAACCCTTGTTGCAGGCAGTGAGTACAGCTTCTGAGTCTGCAGATGGTTTATGCATAGAATTAGAAAACCCCCTTTACAAAAAATGCACCATCATCATGCCTTTGCTGGGCATATGGCAGGCAACCAACTAGCCATTGGGTGTGCCTACCTCCTTTGCTCACGGAGACGACAGTGAAAACAGCCAACCACAGGACATATACAGTGCCGGCAACGTAATAGCTCAATCCTCGGCGTAGACGGCATTACTACCCCCTTTGATCATTGTTTTACTCTTGAACGTTTGTGGCTGTCCGCTCTCTATATCAACTTCCCTGAATTCCGCAATATCACTCAGCACCTCCATAACGTCCAGGATGAACTGCAGCTTATATACAAGCTCGAGCAATAGCGATGCGAAGCGCAAAAGAGACAGGACTTCTAATCCCTCTTGCATTTCAATCGGCACATCGTCTAGTAGAGATTGCCAGCAGAAATCTCGGTCATCATGCCTTTTATCTTCGGCTTCATCGAATATCTTCCCGAACGATGTGTGTCTAGATTGTAGTCCCTGCATCGCATTCGTAAGGATGTCCACATTGTTACCTTGATCGCCTCCTCCTCCTTCTTTACCTCCTGCTGCAACTCCTTCCCTTTCCGTTGAAAACAAGCCACCCTGAGAAGCCGCACCGGCCAGCTGTGACGACATCTCCGCCACGTCTGTCATCGACATCACCCTGCTGAATTGCCAGGAGTCATTTCCTATCTCCCCTTCGCCAAGGGCCTTATTGCTTGCTGCACCTGCCGTATCATCTGTCAGAACCACTGTAGTTGCAGTTCCGGTCCCCCCAACGACTTCCGGCACTGGGCCCATTCCATTGCCTGGGAAGGCTTTGTTGTCTGGCCCCAAGCCAGCTGCGGTAACCCCTAGAAGTATACCCGTCTGTCTATGCAGCTTGCGCTGAAGGACAAATGCAGCATCTTTAGCTTCCTCCAGCAGTCTGCTGCACTCAGGATTTTTTTGCATCTCCCTAAACCCGTAAGCCAGTTTGCTCAAGAAACTGTTGCAGGCCTTGCCAATGGCCCGAAAGTCAGCTGCAAACAAATCGCGCAGAGACTGAGGAGGTTGGAACTCTGCCCGAAGGCACAGATCAAGCGCTATGACATCATATAACATGTACCTTAGTGCATCTGTGACATCGTCGTATAGTTCCCATGGATGGCATTTCTTGAACCGCCCGTGTCGAGGCTCCCAGTACACCGCATCGAGCAGTTTATCGACATCAGAATCGGACATGATAATCTCATGGTATGCCTCATAGATCTTGTCATCCGTGGCCGGCACATCGCCCTTCGTGATTTCAGGGACATGGTTCAACATCTTCCCCTCCACATACTCTTCGACACAGCGATGAAGAATTACACCTGCCGACTCAATGTTCTTGGCTACAAGCGCATGCAGGCTATCTCCTGCGAAATCAGGGTAGATGAAGCTGCATGACGCTGCAATGAAGAAACCGACGACGATCATTAGCAAGCGCATAAAAGGAAGACGCATGCTCTCATGTATATGGTAGCCATGGACTACAAGGAGATGGAATGTCAACAAAGACATTAGTACAGCATAATTCCATCTATCTTTGAAAGGAGGACTGTAGCGGAGGTACGTGAGCACCACGCCACCCATGAAAGTAGATAGCACTACAAAGTACGGGTAAAGAAAACCAAGATGAGGCCCCATGTGATTGATCGCCACTGCCAAGAGACCAGCACAGAGGGTTCCCAGAACGCGGTTCAAACCTTTGCTCAACGTCAGGCCCACATTTTTCTCAAACACCGAATCAACCGTAATCACTGCCCAAGCACCTGTCTTACCGAACAGATTCAGCTTCCAATCTCCCACCGCCAATGTCGTTGCAAGCGCGCATGCAAGTCCCACCTTCAAGGAAAGCTTTGGTAGTGTCTTCTGCGTTTTCAGAACCCGCACTGGCCAGGAAATGAACTGCCATATGTTATGACACAGCAACTTGAAGTTCCATTGATCCAATCCAAGGAGCTGGTACAACGGTCCACGATTTGGATGGTAATGAATATCTGGCCTTAGCAGCGATTGTGCTCTTGTTATCGAGCTTCCCGCTCTGAATGGTGTATATGGTGTATATGTAGCTCTTCCTGAGTATGGGCTTCTTGATGTGCCGCCTGTCCTGGGTGTACACGGTCGATCAAGCGTCCGTGATGACTGATTACGGCTGCGCGGAGTTGCTTTCCTTGGCGACAAGTTGGGAGATCTGTACGGTGGTGAGAAGTTGTGCCTTCCTGCCCTTGACTCTTCCAGCAAGGGCTCTTTCACAGAAGGAATGTTGGATGCCATCTTCAATGCTCAAACAAACTGTCAGCAACACAAACTATCTGGAATGTACCCGAGCGTGAGAAAAACTCGTGAAATTTGGGATTAGAATCTTGCTGAAGGCCCAAGGGATGGAACGTGGAGCTGTAAACAATGTCAAGGACGAATGAAAAACAACAAAAACAACAACAACAACAACAACAACAACAACAACAACAACAACAACAACAACAACAACAACAACAACAACAACAACAACAGAGAAGCCTGCAGGGAGACGGTTACTAGTTACCTACCTAATCCGCCGACTACTAAAACGTTGCAAGTAAACAGAGCCCCAGCCGTGAGACTGAGTGGTGCAGCATATGTGGGTGAGTGGTATAAACAGAGAAAGGAAGCGAAAATGAAAGAATTAAGATAGTTCTCAGATAGTTCCCAAGGATGGTGTTCCGTGGAATGCAGGTTTCACGAAAGGCGCCAGTGAGGCAAAGTGCCTTACGCCAAACTATGGCACATAGCAACAGAGAGGGCCCTGCACCATAGAGATAAAATGCGGGTGGGTACTTACAATGCTCGTAGAAACTACACAGTCCCTACTTTTAGGTCAAGCCTAACTGATGGCTGACCTTTCCTGGCAATTGCCAGCCTCAACCAGTTAAAAGATATGTTAACGGTTATAAAGCGAACAGCGAAGAACATGCCCTACCAAGAATTGTTCTCCCTTGAACTACAACCACTTCCACTGATGCTATTGCACTGAGGTTATCCTCCCTCCTCCACCTGCATTGACACACTAGTCCTTCATCAAATAGGCAGAACTGGATAGCACACAAACTAAGACAAGGATGGACGAGAGAATCGACTCAAACATGACACCCCCTCCTGCAGAGGAAACGACCAGTTAGCATTATCAACTCCGATCCACCCAAAGAACAACCTAACTTAGCTTCACAAATACCGCAATGGGATCGACTCCATAGATGACACCATCCAGTTTACTGGAAACCAAGCAATCCAACTTCAATGTCTGCCAGATCAACCATGGGTTGGGTTGAATCCGATGAGTTTCTCTTCCACGCACGACCACATAAACGGAGTCGAACGAGAGACCGGTGTGTGTCATTTGCTCATCACCACCACACATGATCACGTCAATGGAGTGGATAAGTGAACCATGATGTATTGATGGACAGATTGGTGCCTGTCATCTTGCCTGTCAACAAGAAGCCGCTGGACCATTTGGCATCACAATGGCACCTGCAACCAACAAGAAGCAGAAACATGATGAGAAACAGTTCTGCTTTCATATTCACTCCAACTCTGCTTTCTCTTCTCCTGTCCTAATCGCTGCTCACTTCTCCTCTATACTTCTCCGGAACTCCCCCCACCCCCTCTTCACCCTTTCTCCACTACTTGCTCCCCCCACATATTCAATCCCACAACATCGACAATACCACCAACCAATCAGGCTAGCATGGGCAACAGGCAACATGATTAGGACGCGCAGTTGTTCTCATTCTCGTGGCTTCTTCTGATAAGCTGGTTCCTATTCCCATCTGCTCATGTCATCATGACAGTTCTTTGTGGCATTTCCCTTGTGCTTTTTGTCCTTGTTTTATTCTCTTTTGCCTTTGCTTTCTCCCCTTCTTTCATTAGTTTTAAGATTGAACACTTTTGCTGTTTGTTGTTTCCTTATCTTTTTCAGTTGTTCCTAACCACAATTTACCTACCTTTCCCCCCCTTCCCCTTACTCCTCCCACAGCTGCCAATACACCAACGGACAGCAGCTATCAAAAACTCACAGACAATTGAAGAAGTGCACAGCATGGCAAGCTCCAGCTGACTGACCCGCGCATAGTAGTAGCCCAAATGCCCAAAATGACCAAAGAATTCTCCACTACTCCCAAAGGAAGGAGAAGATCAAGAGATCCTATCCCACAGAGACACCTGTGAGATGAGATACGCCACAGAACTCTCAGGAACAGATGGGAATAGGACACACACACACACACACACACACACACACACACACACACACACACACACACACACACACACACACACACACACACAGAAATGCAAAGAAATAGAGAGAAATAGAGGAAGAGAGAGAGAGAGTCCGGTGCATCCTGACCCTCGACATTGGCTTAGGTCAGAGGTGTAAGAAGGGCGACTTTTAGAATACCCTAATTTGTAGGTGGGCATTCAGAAGAGCAGGGTTTGCCTCAGAGGGATGGCATGGCCAATAAATCAAAAAAATTCCCCTGGACTCAGACCAGGAAAACCTTCAACCTGGCAGGATACCCCTTGATGCACCCAAGTTCCAGGGCATAAAGTGAACACTCGAACTCCCTGTCAAAATGGCTCCTCCTGTTCTCCGACCTGCACTATGCAATTGGAGAGATTTCGACAAGTCAGAAGCTTGTTGAGCAGCTTGCCTGGGACAGAGACCCTGTACACTCTATGTCTCTAACGGAGTCTAACCTAATTGCATCAGCCCATGATGTTGAGTTGTTGATTTCACAGACAACCACGGGGATCGCCCTACTGGTTTTGCTCCAGTCCATCTGGCCTTGGGAAAAGCTTTCTGGACAGCATCAGATTGTTTGCTTGGCCCACCAGGCCCTAGTTGGCAACAAAAGCAAGTAAAGTGCATTGAGGTGCACAGCGTCATGGTGCACTCGCCTTCCACGGTTCAACCCCCAGAACCCCGGCCAGGGGACCCCAACCTCTGCCCCTGAGCCTCCTCCGAAACCCCAGCCTTTGACTCCCCAATCCACCACTGCGCTCTGTCTCCCTCCCTCCCCCTGTGCTTCGACCATGGAACCAACCCCTCACCTCCCGCCTCCCTGCCTCCCCCAGTTGGCCGTGGGGTTTGAGGATGAAGGGTAGGCTTCTGGAGATGACGGCTAGGGTCCCACCATCAAAGGGTTGTCCCGTCTCCAGCTCCCACCCTTTCCCAGAGAATTTTACCCCTCCTCCCGCTCGTCCCCCAGAATTGATCCCCAGCTCAGGGTATCGCCAATGCCAATCAGGGGTCTAGGGGTGGGTACCACAACACAAGGAAACCACTGGGGATCTCTGGATAACCCAGTGAACTGTCAACGCCCCCCACACATTTGCCGTCTTGCTTAAATCTGCACGAGGCACGTAATCGCATGATGAAGACCCACCTGTCTAACGAGCAGGCCAAGAGGTCATGCAACATTATGCTTTCTGAACCTTTTACCAGTGAATCTTCATTTGCATTTTCTACCTTTTATCAGTCAATCTTCCTCTGCATTTCCTACCTTTTACCACTGAATCTTCCTCTACATTTCCTATGTATTCAAACTTCCACAGTTCTATATTTGTGCAGTGTATTCCTGAAGAACCACTGTTCCCCCCCCCCCCCTCTTTCAATCTCTACCTGGATGACATGTTGATGAGGTTGCAACCACATTGTGGACACAAGCATGGTGCATCCATTAACATGGTCAATTCCCAAACATGTACAAGAGTCTGTAAAAATGTCATGTCTACCTTGCAAAAGTAAGATCTGCAAGGAAAATGAGCAATAGCGAAATGACAGAAATTGCAAGATCACATTGAAAGCCAGATAGTCGTAAGCTGTCCAGAAAGCAGAAACGCACTGATATCACACCACAGGAGAACCAAAGCAGCGAACTCAAATGTCAATGAAAGCCTTCTCTTGCCATCACCGACAATGTACTCGAAGCTGTTCCCCCTATCGGTGCTCAGCGCCCTGACTACGATCATACAGCTACTAAGCTAGCCTACTAAATGACAAAGCAACCCGTTGACATCAGCAGCAGCAACCAAAGTACATGCAGATGTCGACCACGTCTGGATGCCGACCTCCGCCAGGACCAGGTACCTGCTCTTACATCTCTCCCATCACTCACCCTCTCAATGCCCACCCTCGTCTTCACCCACAGCTTCTCCTCCACTTCCGAAAACCACCACCACTCCCACTGGCTTCCCACTAGCTCCAGCCCGGCTATGGAAGCTGAGCTATTGCACTGCTCCTATGCAGCGCCCACCACCTGACGACCGTGCTCGCCCGGCAGTACCACCAGCGGCCTTTGAGCACTCCAGCCAGCAGCGCTGCCACAAGAGAGGCAAGTGCCTGAATGCCCTCCCAGCGGCCTTGCTCTTTCCTATATGGAAAAGAGCCAGGCCCGTCGGCTGTCTCTGCTGGAAGGCCCGTGTACCCAGTAGCTTCACATTGGGCCAAAGTGTCTGCACCCAGGCCTGTTCAGACAGTGGCCTGGGCCCGCAGCAGTTAGGTGCGCCCAACCACCTCATGCATGCTGAGGTGTTCCCTGTTTTCTGATAGGCCGAGAGGTCCGATTCCAAATCAAGAATAGAACAGCCTGGAAGGATTGTGGAAGATCCTGATGCTCACTAACAGGGAATATGTAACCAACTGGCGCGTGGTAACTGTCAGGGCTGCCAAATTTTGCAATATTCAGGCCTTTTTGAGGGACAGGGCCCGCCCTCACTTAGGGCAGCCTCAATGCTTGCAGCGGGGGCCCCATATGGGCATGCCGAGGACTCATATCCTTGCATACCTTCCTGCTTAGCTTCGGAAGTCCAGCGAGAAGCTTTCAATTCATTCTTCCCTTAGCTCAAATGCTGGGTGTGTTGGAGAAAATTGTACGCACCTCCCACACCTGGTAAAGTGGTCAGCTTTTCGAGAATCACTGGAGTAATTGCAAGTCTTCCACCAGGTTTGAGCTTTGGAATACACACCTTCACAGCTGCAGAGTTTGTCTTTCATGTCTCCAGCAGTGGTTGGGGGCAGCATGCATATTCTTAATGCAAATACTCAGGCTCAGTGAATAGAGGGTTAGGTGACCAGGGATCTGGGCAATGTAGAAGAGATCACCCTTTGCATTCCAGAGTTTTCCATCGATAGGATGAGCAACGCACCGGCCAACAGGTAAGTCTCTAACCCCGCGATTGCCGTCACGCTACTTCCATCAATAGGATGAGCGAAATCGAATGAATATTCCGCTAGAACATCGACATATGCACTACTACATGTGTGTGTGTGTGTGTGTGTGTGTGTGTGTGTGTGTGTGTGTGTGTGTGTGTGTGTGTGTGTGTGTGTGTGTGTGTGAGAGAGAGAGAG